AAATAATGTATCAAAAGGGTACGGGAAGTGGGTCAAGTGCAAGGCTTATGAAGTTCTGCAGCCCTGGGGCCTGGCTCATTCATCTACGAGGCATGGTTTTTGGTGACCAAGTTGACTATGATGAGGTGCCACCGTTGGTACCAGGGGTACTTCTCCATAGGACACGGTGAGTGGGTTCCAAAAGGCATGGGCTAGGTCCTGGTGGGCAGCATGGACTATCAGAGAATCAAAAGAACGCCAGGATCCGCGATGCAAACCTGCTTCGATCAGACCTAAGGGGAGAGGGCAAGGAACTCGTCCACAGCCCAATCCATTGACAGAACAAAGGAGCAGCACGGAATCAACAGACATGGACTTGAAGACAAAATTCTCAATACTGATTGGTGAGGGCATATGTTCCCAAACTGATTTGGCCTACTACTCCCTTTGCGGCAGGGCTGGGGGGCGGGGGGCTTCTCAGCATCCCCCCGGCAATGAAAGTTTTTGTGCTACAGCTCAGGATACAGAACCAGGATAAAGTAGAGGCAGACAGGAAACAGGGAGGAAGTAGGATGGGTGATGCTCTATGTGGGGTATGACAATGGATGAGATCAAACAGTTGAATTAAAAACTGATGATCTGCTCTGAACCTTTGCCTAGTTCCCAATAAAAAGTGAAGACCAACAAAGAGAACCACAGCATCATTCCCCAGGTCCTTCTATGGGAGAGAGCACTGGAAGCTGGCGACGGGAGCCGACGTACCAGTGGTGCCTGTAGGGCAGTTGGTGCACACCACCTCCTTCGTCTTGGGGACGACAGCACAACTTGAGCCCCCAGGGCAGGGACAGGGCTGGCAATCAGAGGAGGTGCCCACTGTGGAATCTCCGTAGTACCCATCGCTACACTTTTCACACTGGGGGCCAGCAGTATTGTCTCGGCAGTTGCAAATGCCTATTTGGAGAGCAAGGCGAGAGAACAGGGAGGAGCATGAGTAAGGAAGGCAATTACCACCCCTTCCCATCTGCTAAAGGGCATCAAGACCCAGCAGCTGCCGCCACATATCATCGCCTCACCTGACTCAGGGTCACAGGTCTCGCTGTGTCCGTTGCAGGTGCAGAGCACACAGGGACTGTAGGGTCCAAGGCTTGGTGTTTCTCGTCTGTAGCCTGGGAGGCACATTTCACAGAACTGACCTCCGTATCCCACAGGGCAGGTGCAGGACTCCACCCACATGGCAGGGACCCCTGGCCCAGGACGAGCGCTCAGTAGGGTGACATCATCCAAGTACCCGGCACCTGTGCAGGGTGTGGAAAAGAGAGGTGCTGAGCTGACTTCTGTTTTGCACAAGGTCACTGCAAGTCAATGAAGCTCCAGGGGAAATCAGATCCAAAACACCAGGGAAAACCAGCCAGTAATTTAATTTGCCCTTTGGAAAAGCAAGTGAGGAAGCGGCTGGTACCAGGCGCTAAGTATCCGAAGGGGGCGTGCAGCACAATCAGAGTTTCTTCAGCACACACACATCCACACAGCGGGATGAGCAGCCTCTGCAGGGCTTCCAGTCACCAGTGTGACAATTAGAGGTACTGGACACGCGATTTGAGCAAGAAGAGATGTAAGCGAGAGAGAGAGAGAGAGAGAGAGAGAGAGAGAGGAAACAAGAGCTTCAGCCTATGGCCATTAAACAGTGATGGTGTTCTTTTGCCACAAAATCAGATACTAAGTGTGGAGGTCAAGGGTATGGAAGTAGGGAAGGCACTTGGCACACCTTCATAGCATCATCATTTAAGTCAACCATTCCACTCCAGTCTTCTACAGTTTTAAGGTGAAAGTGTATTTCCGCATGTTATGAAATAGCTCTTGTTTACATGGCCCATTTGGAAATTTAGTTACATAAACCTAAGGCTGAGGGACGGCTCTTCTATTCCTGCCTTACACTTAGTTGCCTTTAGGTAGGCTTATGCCTTTCTGTCCAGTACAATCATGAGAGACGTCTCCTGTCCTTTGAAACAGTCTTAAGTTTCCCATTCTAAAAATACTCATTTTAATTTTGCTTCTATTCTCAAATTATAGTCCATATCTTTTCCTTTCCTCACAATCAGACTTCCTGGGGAAAAAGGCCTTTATTTCCTCTACCTTTAAATTATTTCTCAAATACCACAATCTAATCTGGGTTTCTAACATTAAAAAAAAAAAACTATCACTAATGACTCCTTAATTACCCAATTCAAAGACAAGTAGTATGATGTTTCTAAATCAGTTGTTTCACTTCCTTTAAAATTAAATTTTCTCTCGTCTCAGGGCATGGCTCTTAAATAACTACATTTCCAGGACTCAATCTTCTTTTCTTTCCTCTTACTGGTCACACACCCAAGTATCAAACTGACGGTCCTCACACTGACAAGCTGCTGACCATAGGTCTACAGCCCTAGCTGGTTTCCAGGCTCCACATCCACATTTCTAACAACTTACAAGACATTTTCATCTAGATATTCACATGGGCATCGAAACCCACCCAAGCTAATGAGACCACCCATCTGACTCCCTCTCCACCCCCCACCCCCCAGTCACTGTACCTTTCTAAAGAAAAAGGTCCTAGTTTCAAAATTATTGTGGGGGAAACGACAAAGAAACCTGAAAAGCTTAGTTAAAATAGCCTGTTCGACTAAAATTATAACAAGTGTCCAATCAATAATTTATAATTTGTCATAATTTAGCCAGCAGTTGAAAGGTCTTTAAAATATTCATTGCAAAAAATTAAAAAATAAAAAAAATAAAAAATTCATTGCTAAGCAAAAAGAAATGAACATTAAGCAAGTTGAACCAGAATTATTCCTGAGGCTTTTTAGAAGAAGAATGTATTGAGGTGCAGTGTAACCTCAACAGGCATATTAAGTATTAAAAAAAACCAAACTATTTACTTGGCATAACACAGTTCACCAAAACTGTGTTCTACATCATATTTCAGTGAACACTGACTGGGGTCTTAAAAGGTACTGATTCTGAACCCACACCCACCCCCCTCGCCTCCCGGTCTGGAAGAAAGATGACTGATGAAAACTGAAAGACATGTGGAAACAGTCAGTCTACTGCATGAATGGGACTGTCAAACACCAGTCTCCATCACCGTGTGAGACTAGAAGGGCGAAATGCACCTGGCTACCACTCCCTACTGCTCTGAACAAGATCCCCTGAGCAGGTCCTGGATAGAGTGGGAGGAAAAGAGGGCACAAAACTCGCAGTCAGCAGAGAGACCAGGTTTACTGGTTTGATAGAGATAGGCGGGCTCCCCCAAGCCCATGGCTCTCTGCTACCTTTGGATCTGAAACTGAACTCACCTGGATAAAGAATCATCAGTAATCATTCATGAACAAAGGACGAGTTCACCAGGCTCGGAAAGGAGGAGGGACGGAAACAAGAGACCGGGGAGGAAGTGGGCTAAGTGGTGGCCCATGGAGGGGATGACAATGGGAGAGATGAACCAAGATGCGTTGGCTTGTGGAACGTGACACTGATAACCTACTCTGTACACCAGTGGTTCTCAACCTGGGGGTCGCGACCCCTTTGGGGGTTCGAACGACCCTTTTGCAGGGGTCACCCGATTCATAACAGTAGCAAAATTACTGTTATGAAGTAGCAACGAAAATAATTTTATGGTTGGGGGGTTCACCATAACATGAGGAACTGTTATTAAAGGGTCGCAGCATTGGGAAGGTTGAGAACCACTACTGTAAACCTTTACTTAATTTACACAAAAAGTTCCAAAAATGTAATTCACTGAACTTAGCAAAATTTCTCCAGGTATTAGGTTCCCATCCCTCCAATGGCATTAATTTTACACATAATTCATGTAATCCTCAAGGAACGGTGCATCAGAACGGATGTAGAGATCAAATGTTAGCCAGCCTTCCACCAAGAGACCTTCTTCCGTAATCCTCCTGAACGACAGCACAACTTACTTCTCTCACTGTATGTCCCACGGATCTTGATAGACGTCAAGTTGTTGAGGAGTTTCTGAAATTCAAAAGGAGTCAGGGTAGGTCTCCAAGGGTAGTCTGTGGCTTCGTGGATCCTGGAAGGAAAGAAGAGGCCACGTTAAACTTGGGAAGGGTCCTTGGGGTGCTGAGCCAGCCTCTCGCTCACATCTGCTACCAGTAATACAACACTCTCACCATCTAACCATATCAGGAAGGAGGCTGGTGGTCTGACAATACAATCCGAAAAGGTAAAACTTAACCAAGGAAGGCTCCCTTTTACCAAATCACCTGGATAAGCCAGGACTTTTTCTTTAACATGTACCACTGGGCCAGATAGACTTAGACAGAGAAAGCACACTCACAATTTTGGACAAGTCAGATGTTATGAAGGAAGCCTTCTCACCTGAAGACGTATTTCACAGTGGTCTCACTCGGGTAGGAGTTGCCCTGCGCAATCAAGGGCACCGACACGCGGAGGCCGGCCCCCTCGAGCACCAGGTCTTCTGCAGAGAGGCGAGTATCGGGCCTGTCCACTCGGAAGGAGAAGGAGAGGTTCTGGCCATAACTCAGCATCTGCTTGCCCAAGAACTTTGCTGGAATACAGACAAAGCGGGTGCAGGAAGGTGAGAGTGAGCTTTGCAAACGAAACGAAACCAAAAACTACATCGAGCCAGGCTACCATGTAGCCTTACTTACCAGGAGCAATGAAATACCTAGGAAAGTAGCTATCAGAGATGACGGAAATATCTCCCCTCTCCGAGGACCACTCAAGTGATGCTTCAGAGCCGTCCCTCTGCTCCGCACGCCAGCCGTCCTCATCTAGAAGCACAGAAGGAAAACACGGTGCTGCTACACTGCCAGCAGCTTGACTTCAGTCCTCCACAGCCACCCACGTGTCAGGGGTGATACCTAGTCTACAGAAGTTCACCAATGAACCTTTGGATAAATGGAGCCTACAACTGCGCTTGTAGAGACGCTAATGCTTCAAGTTACATTTTGTATCACATCTTACTCACTGGGATAAATCCTGCTTGTTTCCGTTAAGTGAAAAGGCCAAACCAGGAGAATCATACACACTGAACAACATTAAGTATGCCCATCTTCATCATCAATACGAAAAAACCAAAAAAAACCCTCAAAGAGTTACTTTAAAGCTTTTTTTTTAAAACATTTCAAACCGAATCCCATAGTTCTCGGTTGAAAACCGCAAGTCCGCTTACCAATCTGAAAGGTGGAAGTGATCGGGTAAGCACTGTAGCCCACGGCACTGGTGCAGACGGAAGAATGCCCGAAGCAGAAGCAGGGTGTGCAACCCTTCGGGTTAGAGGGTTCCAGGTTGAAAAACCCAGGTTTGCATCTGCAAGAGATGCAGACACGGCCCATTCTTGCTATTATTTTCATTTGAAACTTACCAGCAAAGGAAACACAATGGAGCTAGAGAAAGAGTGAGCTACCTCTCACAGCTGAAGCCTTCCACGTTGTCTTTGCAGACACACCTCCCTGTTTCAACGTTGCATTCATCGATGCTGCCCGAAGGGTCACAGGAGCACGGCCTGTGGATGGACAACAGGGGTGGGGGCAGGAGAAGCATGATAAAAAAATCAGTGGAGGAAGAGGAGGGAGAAAAGAAAATGCACTCTTAAGCCAACCTTCAATTTTACGTAATAATATATATATTTTTAAAGATCCACGACAAAATGAATCCCAAAATCATTTTCAGAAACGCTCTCTGTAGAAACGACACACCCCGGCTCATCATGACAGGTGGAAGCCTTGAATTTTTGTGGGCAACGACTGAGGAAGAAATGTTCACACCGAGGCAGGTAAGTCACCAGAGCAGTAATTTTGAGTTGATCACCTCAGATCCTGTGCCCTTCCTGTGGTTGTGGAGCATCCTACCTGCATCCTGCCTCGGTGAGAGAATGGAATCCAGGCTGGCACCGGTCACACTTGTCTCCCATCACCCCTGGTTTACAGCTGCATCTTCCATAGCTGTCACACTGAGTGCTGAGAGAGCCTGAAACGGAAAGACGCTGTTCCGATGAGCACCACTGTCAACCACCAGTGAAACCGGAGAGGTAGGAAAATCGATGTGTCAAAAGAAAAACAAAACCCCAATGGCAATTCCAAACCATGCCTGGAAACCAATACGCAGTTCCTCAGCGGTAACTCTGGCAGTTAGATTTTGTCAACTTGAACCTTGTGAAAGTGTACGGGGAGAGTCCAATCCATCACAGCCTGATGACAATGAGAATGTCTTTCCCTCTCTCTGCCCCTTTACCTCCTTCCTCACGGAGGCTCTGTGTCTGCCTCCAGAGGTACGCTGCCAACCCACTGACCTTGGAACCAGGTAACTCTGCACCCACTGACCTGTGATCTCCCTGCTCCCAATTCACCCTTCTGCTTCATTGGCCTTCATTGGAAACAGACTGCCAGGTCTCCCCTCCCCTCCCCCCAAGGTGCTGGGTGGGTTTGAACTGCCAGTCTTCTGCTTATCAGCCAACTACTTAACTGCCGGATGCCATCAGGGCTCTTTATAAATCACCCAGCGCCCGTTGACAAGCTGCAGAGTGGCCCTGTGTCTGCTGGCAAGGCACAGGTTCCTTCGGGCCCACATCTAGAATTTTAAAAATGACCAAACTCCTGCGACCGTAGGACAGACGGGGCACACACCAGCCCTCTAAGGAGATCAGACTCAACAAAATCATTAACAAGGAGGCATTCCCTAAGCAGCTGGCCTCGGACAGCCAAAGTTCAAATGGTCTTACTGATCCCACTGCTAATTATTTACAAAATTAGTCACTCGGGCCTACCTTATACTTATATATCCACACTCCAGAAAATCAAATTAAAGTTCAAATTGGTTGAAGAGTCGAGGTGGGGTTACAGCTAGACCTTGAATCACTGACACATTAAAATAATGTACACACTTCCATACCCTTGCCTGGGCAACCATGTTTCTAAGGTTACACAGACATCTGACTTTGTCTTCCAACCCGCCAGGCGGAAGCTGACCCGCGTCACTTACCAACGGGACTACAGTGGCATGGCGAGCAGGCCTCCTTGTTCCCCAGGCGGAAGAAGTTCTCCCGGCACCTCTCACAGTTGGCGCCATCCGTGTTGTCCTGGCAGTTGGTACAGTGGCCGCCGTGGCCCGTGGAACGGTACAGTTCAGGGTCAAAGGAGCATTCCTGGGAGCGGCCATTGCAGTCACAGGCTGCCAGCCAAAAAAATACCCAGTCAGATGCCTGTGCTTTTAAGAATATTGTCTCAGAAGGTTCAAAGGAAAACAAACCATCATTTCCCACCTCTCCGTGACAGGAAGGTGGCGGTGGAGTAAGAATGGTCACCAATACATCCTTCGTAACGAAGGCAGTACATCAACAGAGGGCGAGACCACCAGGCCCCCTGATGAAAACAGAGCTCGGCACAGCACACAAAGAACGCGGTGCCTCGTGAGGAAGCTGCCTCCGGGTACTTGGCCACAAACAAGTGAAGGCGAAGTCAAATTCCAATTTTCCCAAGTCTTTATCCTTCATTCTAACATCAGTTCCAAGGATAGGGTGCCACACTACAGGCAGACTGCAATCTGCCTTAACTTTGTAGGTCCCAGCCATTCAAATAAACTAAGACACTAACTTTCAGGGTGCCGGGTGGTATGCAAATCCAGACTGGAGTAACCTCAGACATGTGAATTAAAATTCACATTTTCAACACTACGGGGACACGTGGGTCTACCTTCAACCAGGGAGCCATTCATTCCCACGGGGCCGTGTGTTATGTAATTATATTCCCTCCACAGCACAACCTTGGTTTAAGAACCATCAGAAGGTCTTTATTTTTCCCTATCAAGACCACTTTCTCAGAACCCCTGAGTCTGCCCAGAGTACACACAGCATCTTGAGCACAAAATGAGTATCGCTTAAAAACGATCATGTTATATGGTTTTATTAAATTGGGGGTCCAGGACAGAGCAGGAGGGTGAAGGTTTCTTGAAAACGTTGTTGAATGCCTGTCTTTCATCTTCTGTTGTTTGTCCCCCTCTTGCTTTCGACGCCGTCCTTGCACGAACAATGCAGGGAAACTGACGTCGAAACGTGCGTCCCTGGCACCCACGTGAAAGTTGTGTTAAAAGCTTTTACAGTTCCCTTTCCCTTACTCATGAGCTATCTCTCTTCCTTCTGCCTTCCTAGTTTATCCCCCATCAATGCAGTCAGGTCTCAGATCACAGAGCAGGGCGATTTTACAGGCCTCCGATGCTCCAACCCACAGCTCCAGCAGATGCTGTGGCTTCCTCCTCCTCGGGTAGTAAAAGAAAAGAAAATGGCATGCTTTTAGGGTTCCTTCCTCCTGAGATGTTTTCCTCCGTCTGGTTAGGATAAACCAAGCCATTCGATTCAAAAATAAATCTCCTTTCTCCCTGAGTGGATTCTGACTCACTGCAAACCCACACGCAGACAGTGAGCTCACAGGGGTTTCCAGCCCATCAACTCTACAGAAACAGACTGCATTTTTCTCCCATGAAGGGTCTGGTGGGTTCAAACCACCGACCCACCCCTCAGGTAGCAGTGAGTCCCTGGCCAACGTGCCACCAGAGCCCCTTAAGCCAAGCCACTCTGAAGGGCGATGTGCTATTTCTTTCATCATAACTTCTAGAAACACTAACATCTGATCCCCCTCCTTTTCCGCAGGCCACCCAACCCTGTGTGGGTGGAGTGGGAAAACTCTCCCACCACATTCCTTAATGTGATAAAGGAAAAAAAAAAAACACTCTGAGAGATAATGTTTCAAATGGCAGTCTGCGTCTAAAACTATCGTCATGTCTGACAGCATGTTAATCAACGGCCTTGGCTGTTTGAGTAAGGGCACACTGATAGGAAGAGAGCATTTTAAAGGACATGAAGACCAGACCAGAAAAGTATCCTTGAGGGCAGGCCACACTGGCCCAGCATTTTGATGGAAGCAGAGCTCTGCATGTAGAAGATGCTGCTTCCTCTCTGGCGTGTGTGTTCTGGACAGAAGCCCAGGCCCAAGCCGTGCATACTGACAGCCATGCCTCCAGCTATGAGTTCCCCTCACCGTGTGGGGGGCTTACTGCCTGCGCAACTCTCTCAAATGATAGCAGCAGCACCCACAATCACCCTTCCAAAGACGAAGGCAAGGCAATCCTTCAGCCTGATGTCCTTCCATCCCTGGAAGCTCTCAAGAGACCCTAAGAGCCCGGGGAAGCACTCACGCAGGCACTCGCTGGCGCTCTCGGCAGTCGCTCTCCTCCACGGCCGGTCGTTGAAGAAGGGAAGGCACTTTTCACAGTCTACGCCATAGGTGTTGTGTTTGCAGTGGCACACCAGCTGGCCCAGCTCATTCTTCCCACACTCGCTCGCATGGCCGTTGCACTTACACCTGGGGAGAGAGGAGATCATTCCAGAGGACTGGAACTGCTGCTGCGAAGGTCCAGGAATGGATGCCCAAAACCTCTGGACAACAGAACTTAAAGCTAACCCAAGAACGCTGTTGAGCTTCCCCATTCCAAAGGGTGAACTGAGCAAGGTTCAGTCATGGCCGTTTGAGTTGGAGGTATGAGATTCAAACCAAAAAACCTACCCCTACCTTCCAAAGCAGCTTTCCTTACCAGGGTATGTAAGTTAGCCAAGATATGCGAAGAGAGACCCTGAAAAGTTCTGGGGATGGCTGTCGGGCCACTTCTGTTTCAACAGGCACCCGGAATAAGAACCTGGCTGCCTGGCAGCCCTGCCTGGCAGCCCTGCATGGAACTTAACTAGTCTGTGCCTCCCTCACCTGTGGCGTGGCGATGGTGATAATGCGAATTCTGTAGAACTATTGGAAGGCCCTCGGAATTCTTTCTCTATATACCCAGGAAAGTGCAGGCACATACTAAGTGGTAAATATGCTTGCAATCATCTGCCACGATGATTTTAAATCAGTGTACTTTAAAATCTCATCTGCAGAAAAGATCAGCTTCCTCACCGTCATATGGATCTCTGGTAATCAGAATGCTATTCCCTCAGGTTTAAGGCGCTAACACTCCGTGAAGGATTCCCTAGGTGTAATGGTCTGATCATGACCAAAGAGGCATGGAAATAACCACAAGAACTACGTGGACTATGGCTTAGCAATATTCCCTTCATCTGTTTCCTTGATGGCAGCCACCAATTCCACTGCGTCAGGGTTCATGCGGCCATTTCTAAAGCATGTTCAGGATGGCAGGAGGAGGACCAGGCTTGGACCTTCCCCTCTGAGCATTCCCTCAAGCGCCTACCCTTGCCTTTGACACAAACCTCGCTGTTCCCATCGCTTGAAACGCTACCTATCTAAAACGACTCACTGCATCTCTCCCCAAACGCATTTACCTTCTGAATTTACTTTGTTAACGGGTCCACCATTCCTCTGATCACTGAATCTTATCTTAGACACAAGTCCTAACCATTCTTCCTGCACAAAATACATCTACTCTACTGCCACTCACCCGAGTGTCAAAGCATTCATTGTCTGATTCTCAGATTAGACCTTGGAGCACAAGTACAAGAAAGCTTCGGAAAGCTCATGGGGAAACGGGATGAAAAAACAATGGAATTTTCCCAGCTTTCTGAAGCTCCCTCGAGTTATCTTCTCTCCACTGTTCACCACATCCACTCTGCCCTCACAGTCATCCTCTTAGCACACTGTTTGGGGTTATCAAGAGAATTTAAGAAACAGGATAAGGGGCAGTCACCAGCCTGCTCTCCTCCACCACAGCTGTGCAAAATAGGAGGCATTTTTCACAGCCTACTCCATAGGTATGGTTCCAATTATACAACAGCTTGCCAAATTCACTCTTCCCACGCTCACATGTCCACCACATTTAACCTACTCCCAAGGCCTTGCCTGAGCTCTCCTGAATCACAGTTCACTCAGCTTCCACAGAACACCATCCCACCACATACAAAAATAATTGTTTGCTCTTGAGAACTGGCTGCCTAATACAATAAAGATAAAGTCCACAGTTTTTACCTACTGTCTTCAGGCTCTGGTCCCTAAACTACCTAAGAGATTTTTCTTAAGGCAGGTGGATTAGAGATTTCCACCCTGCCCCCAACCTAGCTGCCATCCCTCCTAAACAAGTCCTGCCCATTCTTCAAGACCCAGCCCAGATTCCACGTGCTTCTCGAGGTGAGTCTACATCGTGCTCTGACATACAGCATCCTTTTCACTGCTGCTTGATCTTTTCATTTTAAAACACATGCATTGCATTGGTATTTGAGTTTTCACCTATTTATACATCATCTGCATGATTCATTTAGGAAGATCTTCTAAAGTTGGGTCAGTCCCCAAATAGTGCAGTTAACATACTCAGCTTCACCAAGGTTGAAGGTTCAAATCCACCTGGAGCACGTTGGAAGAAAGGCAGGGGCATCTAGTTCTGAGAAATCAGCCCCTGAAGACCCCATGAAGCCCAATTCTGACACACTCAGGGTGGCCAGCCATCAGTCACAATCCTTCAATGGCAATCGGTAAGAACGTCAGAGCCTTCTTAGTAGGGCAGTCTTACACTTCCCCTGGTAGCCTTACCGAGCCTGTCTCACTACTTGCACTTAAATGACCACTAAAAATTCAGTAAGTATGCTGATTTGATACAAAGACCGGAAAACCCAATCACAGGATAATGAGCAGTCTGACAAGAAAAAGATCCCCGAGCTGCTGCCTCTTGCAGATATGTAATATTCCACCCTAAAATGTGCCCCCCCCCATGCTGGTACAGTAAATGTCTAACAATATGAATTATACTGGTTATAAATAAATTGCCATGTTCATGTGACTATAAATCAAAGCTTGCAAGGCTGATTTAACTGCTTACTCACCGGCCGCCCACAGCGAAATCAGAGATGGCATAGTAATAGGACTTGAGGACTTTGGGGTCATTGAACACTTCGTCTCCAAATGTGTTGAGGCGGCTGAGTGTGACTCTGATGTCAGTGGCGGTTACCCATTCCTGTCAGAGAAACAACAGATCAAGACATAAGCCAGAGGCCCAGGGGGGCTTCAGGATGAGCCCCAGAGGCGACGGAACATTCCGTACAGTTCACGGATCCGCCGCCTAACGCCCACTTCTAGCGTGAAATCCATTGGGACACCGCCTGGCCTTCCTTCCTTGCCTAATGTTCCCCTCCTCCTGGATGGCTCTTTCTTGATGTAGGTTGCGTTAAACCATCCTGAGACACAGAATTAATGCTAATAGCTTCACAAGGCACTTGAGAGGCTTAAGGGAAGATGTATCTTTAAACACCGATAGAGCATTAGACTCAATGCACCTGCCCCTTCTGACTGCCCTGTCTCCACACTCCACATCCAGTCAGACTCCAGGCTCAGAGTTCAGGGAGCTCCACACTTGTACCAGCTACACTGATTGCCACTTCCCTGATTTTGTACCTTAATTCAGAGGCCCTGTCCGCTGCTGACAGAACTGGGGCGGGGGTGGGGGTGTGATGCTACCCAAGTGCACAGGAACAAATCCTCACATTGACTGGAACCGACCAGAGGCAGCCAGTGCTTAGCTTGTTCCTTCCCCACCTAGTCACCTAGTCAGTGAGGCCTTCCCTGGCCAGCGCTCCCCAATAGCCGATTTCTCTCCTGTTTCACTTGTTGAAGAGTTCCTGGGTGGCACAATTGATTGGAGGTTCAAAAGCACACTGTGGAGTCTCAGAAGGAAGGCTTCCCATTCTATTTCCAAAAGCTCACGCACCTGGAGAACCCAATAGAGAGGTCCTATGCTGACGACACACCTGGCATGCCGTGAGGTGGAATCTCCTCAACTGCTGTGGCACCTGGCTGTTCTTATTTATCTTCCTCATCCTTGTTTTTCTTATGAAAACAAGGAAAATGCCAGTGTCTTTAAATTCCATTTTCCCCTGAGGTTTTGGAAGCTCTCTCCTATCTATCTAGTCTCAATTGTCTCCTTCTACCCC